TTTATTGTAAAAACGTATATACTTTCTAATATTTAACTAATTTAAGTTAACAATTGATAAGTTTTAAGAAATAGAAAATACTTGATTTTTATTAAAATTTCCTATGAAAATAATGAAATAGTACGTTTGTCCATTTGACCCAAAATTTCAAGAATTTTCATAGACTAATTACAAATTTTATTGTAAAAACGTATATTCTTTCTAATATTCAACTAATTTAAGTTAACAATTGATAAGTTTTCATAATATTCAAATAATTTAAGAATTAATATAAAAAAATTAGAAAATACTTGATTCTTATTCACATTTCCTATGAAAATAATGAAATAGTACGTTTGTCCATTTGACCCAAATATTCAACAATTTTCATAGACTAATACAATTTTATTATAAAAACGTATATTATTTCTAATATTTAACTAATTTAAGTTAACAATTGAAAAGTTTTCATAATATTCAAATAATTTAAGAATTATTATAAAAAACCATAGAAAATACTTGATTCTTATTAACATTTCCTATGAAAATAATGAAATAGTACGTTTTTTTCATTTGACCCAAATATTCAACAATTTTCATAGACTAATTACAATTTTATTGTAAAAACGTATATTCTTTCTAATATTTAACTAATTTATGTTAACAATTGATAAGTTTTCATTATATTCAAATAATTTAGGAATTAATATAAAAAAAAATAAGAAAATACTTGATTCTTATACACATTTCCTATAAAAATAATAAAATTGTAGGTCAGAAAGACCTATGGTCAATAGCCCTTTGTATCAGTTGACTTTTTTGAAATTATATATATATATATTTTGTTCTTTTTATTTCTGTGTATGTTTTTGTGTACGACTAATACAATAAACATTATTATTATTTTAATAAAATAGTATAAAAAGTATTGAATTTATACTAAAATTAAAAAAAATATGAAAATTCTTAATTGTATATTTATAATCATATAAAAGATTAAATGAAATATTGTTTTATTAATAAATATCAGATTTCGTAATTAAGTATTTTGTGTAACTATGGTTGTTCACTTTTGTAATCTATTTACGTATGTATTTACAATAAGAAAGTCCTTCGTCGTTTATTTATTATACGTAAATAAGTATGAACTATCTATACCGTAATTGAGATTGATTTTATGTAATTACCTTTATTCATTATTCAGAGCAATTGAGTGTAATCAAGTTATCGACATAAATCATATATTCAAATTGGAATCATTTGCATAAATGGACAGAGATTTATCAAAAATATAATGCTATTTGTTTTAATATTGTGTAATATATTTGATTCTATTGTTAATCTAATTAATAAAATTGAAATCTTAAATTAATTAATGAATCAGGTTTATCAAAAATCCACATTTTATTTTGATAAAATATACAAAGTTCTTATACTAAAGCTGAGAACATCAATTAGTGGCTGAAACAGATCGATTATTTCCCTTCGAGAAAAGCCGTAGCTATAAAAACAAACGGGGCAATTGATTGCTCTTCAACTACTTTTACTTGTTTCACCCCACTCTCTCTCTCTTATGTTTGTTCCTTCTTGTTTTTTTTTGTTCGTGTGCTTGTAAGGAAGTGCGACGACCATTGCTATAGAGATTTAGTTCGAAACTTGGGTTTACAGCATCGAAAGTTCAGCAATCAATCGTTAATTTGGCCATAATTTACTGACTGACTGGACGGCAGGAAAGCAAAAAAAAATTATAAAGAAAGAAACACGCGCCTATAAAATAAAGTGGGAAAAAGTTGCGTGTTCCGTTTCGGTTCAGTTTAGAGGATATTTATTGCGGATCTTAATAGAGTATCGAGTTTCGTCCTGTTTCTTTACTTTATTTATTATTTACTAAATTCCTTCCTTTACTATCAAATTTATTGTATAATTAATATCACAGTGCGGATAATAGGTTTCGTCTTTTTGAAACCGGACTAATCGAGTACTTAAAAACCGTACTGCAGTACGATCATTGTTGCACTATGCAAAATGTTGCTGTACTTTATTGATGTGTTCTAAATATTTATGAAAAATTTGAAGTCGAAAGATTTTGTTCTAGTTTCTAGAAGAAATTAATTTATCTAACTTTTAAGAACTGAAATTTTACCTTTTGATCAAATAAATTCTCCAATTTTATGTAGAATCATTTGCATTGATTTCTCAACTTTCATTTAAGTCTTAACTACCAATTACTTAACTTATCTATCTTATTTTTATAGAAGAAACAAACTAAATAAATTGTGTAATTTTTTTCAAATTTTTCATTGATAAAAAAAGAAGGTATTTTCAATAATAATTTGTATTTTTTTAATGAAATTGTATACTTTTCTCATATATATCAAAATAAATTCCCAATTTACTATAAAATTGTACTTATTACTAAAAAAAAATTCCATACAATTTTTCATATTTTTCATTGATGACAAGAAATAATTCTTTATATTTCTTAATGAAATTGTATTCTTTTCTCATCTATATTAAATTAAATCCACAGTTTTCTCAATTTACTATAAAATTATTGGGATTTATTTTGATATAAATCAGAAAAGAATAGAATTTCATTAAGAAATATAAAGTCTTATTGGAAATACCTTTATTTAATTTTCATCAATGAAAAATATGAAAAATTGTATACAAATTATTTACTAAAAGTACGATTTTGTAGTAAATTGAGAAAATTGGGGATTTATTTTGGTATAGATGAGAAAAGAATAGAATTTCATTATGAAATATAATGAATTATTGGAAATACTTTCATTTTCTGAATAGAAAAATTTGAAAAATTGTATATTTTTTTTAGTAAAAGTATAATTTTATAGTAAATTTACTACAAAATCGTACTTTAACTAAATAA